TACCGTATGGCCTCTGAATGAGAAAAGTCCTCAACACACAAAGTCACAGAAGTTGAAGGAAGAGAATAAGAGCTTAGATGAGAACTGAAAGATAAGAATTCGGTTTTTGGTTTCACTACTAGAGACGGATCAAGGAGAATACTAGGCAGCAGCACAGGCGGCAACACCGGCGCTGCTATGGTGGAGAGAAAAAGACGGGGAAAAGAAGAGAGTTTCAAAAACAGATCTAGAAAAGAAAAGCAAGTATGATAATATGATGTCAGAATCATTTTATACTTATGAAAAAAATAATGGTTGAATGGAAAAAAAATCATGGTGGAATACTGGAATGGCCGAGAATGGAGAGGGAAAATGGGACTAGTGATTAGACTGATTTTGGAGGGGTAAAGGATCTGCGGATCTGGGATAGCGGGAAGCTTAAAAATTGAGTTGAGGGGTGAGGCGCGCAACAGAGAAGGGCCAGAAGGCCGTGCAAAAAGGGCGGGCACCATTAGGGTTTGCCGGTTTGGAATGGCTGAGAAGTGAGAATGGAGAGGGAAAAGAAAATGTCAAAATAGGAAATTAGATCTTTAGCCTTAGCTAGGTTATAGGTCTAATAGTGATTAGACTGAATTGATTTTGGAGGGGGAAGAGGGAAAGGATCTGATCTGGAGTGCCGAGTGGAGACAATGGAGGGAAGGGAAGCTTAAAATTGAGTTGAGGGGGGCAGAGGCGCAGAGAGGATGGCAGAAGGGGCGGGCGGGATTAGGGTTTCTGCTACAGCCGCTTGCTCCTTTAGTTCTTTTAACTTCTAAGTTTTGCGTTTGGGCTTTTTTGGGTCTTTTGGCTTGGGCCTCCAATTCGGTTTTCAGGAGGCCCATTTCGGTTTTCGGTTTTTGGAAGGCCCAACCGAAACCGAACCAAAATTCATTCGGGTAATGCCAAACCCGATCTTTAAAATCCAAAAACCGATAGCACCGAACCGAATTCATTTTTTTGGTTCGGTTTTCGAGTAATTATTCGGTTGCCCAACCGAACGCCCAGGCCTAAATATACGCATAAAATAAAATAAAAATTAAAAGATAATCAAATCAAACTCTGTTTAGTTGTGACCGAATTCAGACTATTCAGTCCTAGGTCAAATCAATCCAAGCTCGATTCTCGATATGCTTATGCTAGCGTAGAATCCGTCTTAGATGACCACAATCCTAAACTGCTCCTAGGTCCATGATTATTGGCTGTCCAAATCTGATTAATTTTTTTATTATTTTTATTTTAAATTATATAATAAAAATGCGCTTAAACTTTTGAATTTAGTGATGTCAGGTAACTTATAAATGTATTTTTTTATTTTTAACACGATGGTTCGATTTCGATCATTTACAAATTTGTTAAAAGAAAAAATTATATAATAAAAATAATTATTTATTTTTTAATTCATTTTATTGATGTATTATATCATTTAAATTTAAAATTTTTTATTTTCATTTAAAAAAAAAACCTTACCATTAACCATTTTTTGGGTTGTGACAGCCAGATCACTTGCTTGGATCACCAATTATGAGAGACAAATGGCCTTAAAGCTACTGCATATAAGTTTTAAAAATATCTGCGTAGAAAGAACTCTAGGTGTCATCTACATATATGAGTCTGTTGTTTTGCATGCAGTTTAATTTTATAGTATAAATGGTAAAATAAAAATTTTTAAATAAAAAAAATAACTTTTAATATCGAATAATTTAAATAATATAATATAATTTATATTATATAACACTTTTATTATGTATCTATACTATACATACAACACTTTTCTCCATATATATTAAGTGTTTTTTTTTCTTTGTCGTACCCATCACGCTGTGGCTCAACGTAGCTATATAGGGGAGGGAGGTTGTGGGTGGGTTTGGCCGTCCGTAGCTATACTGGGGACTGGGGAGGAAGGGAGTGGGTGGGTTTGGCCGTCCGTAGCTATATTGGGGAGGGAGGGGGTAGAGGTAGAAGGGTTTGGCCGTCTGTTTGTCATCACGCACAAATTCAGCATATGCAGGCCAATTTGACATGCATTCTTTTGTCCCTATTTGGGCCCTTTTCAAAATTCTGATACCAATTTAATTTAGAAGGTCTTTGGTTGTTCACTAGACCGATCAAAGCCCATTCGTAGCCGCTTTCTTTTTTTGTGGTGGTTAACACTAAAAAATAAAATAGGTGGTGTGAAACTAAGTATTTTATTGATCAATAATGAAAAGAACTTACAATAGAGAGAAAGTGAAGAAAATAATTTACCTCTTTAAATTGATCATTGAGGTATTTATAAGATATTTATATAAAGTTATCATGAAAATGTAACTCTATTTGATTAGTGTTTGGGTATTTTAATTTTAGTGAAATTTAACCTATTTAATCTTAATAAAATTATTTTTAAGATATTTCCACGTGTCATAACTCTCATAAGACTCAATTTAAGGTATAACAGTGGTACACTCTAATTTCAAACCTTCTATGCTCTTTCTTGCCACTGGAGAGGAATGACTTGCTTATAGTTGAGGCCTGAGGGCAGATACTTGAACCTGCTTATACTTCGGTTAAAAACATTCTAAAAACCATTTCCTCTAGTTGGTCCATAATTCACCTATTTGCAGGGTTTTCTTGCATTTTGAGTCATACAATATTGATGTGGGATTTGACTCCAAATTGATGGTATTGATGTAGATTAATTTCAAGTTTGGTATATGATTTGAACGAAGAGTTGAGTTTAATTAGCTTTGAGAGTGGGTTAGGAGAAATAATTTGTTGATTCTTTCTAGTTAGTTATAATGTGTGAGGGAACATTACTTTCGATTAGATCAAAGACATAAATTTAGTTAAATATGTACAGTTTGATTTATGGTACTACTTTGATAACAAACCAAAAGAAATGAAGGGTTTGAACATCAAGTGACAAATGAAATGGAGATTTGTGAGTGAGGATTTGTGAATGAATTTCAATGAATTTTCTAGTAAATGGATTTTGTTTTCATTTATACTAGCTAGAGTCATTCATAAATTTTAAAATATAAGAAATGTTCTAAAGGATTTCATTGCATTTCATTTGCATTTCGAACACACTCTTGATCATCATGGTTCAGCTGATGTAAAAGAGCGATGATTGTCCTCAAAAATATTGTGAATCAATGTATGTATTAAATAAGTTAATTACAATTAACTTTTT